ATTTCAGTGATGACCTGGTTATATTTAGTGTAGTAGACGTGAAGCAGCCTCAATGTTACAATTTGCTGCCACCTTGGGGTGATATTGTACAACTACACATGTTGTGTCACCGGGTTTTCTTCGTTATTAGCTCCATGTGGTGAGCCGAGTCAAACACACTAGCACCCGAAAAATTAGCCTCTTAATGTGACATACAAAACTAGTTGCTGTGATATTTCATTGACTTCTAACATTCACTTCTGCCATTGTTAAAGAGAAGAGGCCCAACGCTTTCAAACATTTAAATCTCTTTCTTTATTACAAGCATATGTACTTTTTCTTGCTGTTAATAGCTACAGAAAAAACTGGCAAAAATCCACATATCTACAGATATCAATCTTTTAAAAACTTTATACAAAAGGAGCTTAAACTGTACATGAATATTACTACATATATGCTGTAAAGTGTACAGTAGTATACATATATACTGTATATATAATACATTTATGAGCAACATCACACTTTGTGCAGATAAAACAAAAACAAACAAAAAAAGCTATAGATATTTAGTTAATCTGAATAGGCTGGCACAGATGAAGCCCCACTACAGGCAATAAAGCCTTCAGTTATAGCAGTAGACATCTAATCAAATATTTGGTCACACCTGCTTTAAAAACAGTGAGTGTATTTCCTACAGTCAGTGTGAGCAATGACCATGCATATCATCACCTCAAACATATTTCAAATCATCAAACAAAAAAACAGACTGTTAAAGCTATTTTTTTTAACTGTCATCTTTACTGAAGTTGACTTCTCCCATGACCTTACATTTGGTTGTTTTAAAACTGAACAGTAACATTCTGACTCTGTAACGGTAAGTAGTTCTCTTCATCCTCTAGATACAAAAGTAGCAAAAAAACTTTTTCACACATTATACAAAATACCTATTTCATATAGCCTTTTTTAGACAGACAGAATACAGTGTTTGCCAGTGCCTGAACGCACCCCTGAGGCAGATAGCGTTCAGTGATCAAATTATTCCTACATTACAAAAAACAGTATTGATTTAAAACAATAGTTTGTCAGAAACAAGAATAAAACACATTTGTGAAGGGACATTTGTTCTAGAACCACATTCTTTTAGCTATGGTAGTTTGTAGTTGTCATTCACGGCTATCCAATTAACGATATGCAATTTTTGTTTACAGCACAATGGTGTTTTTTTTTTGTTTTTTTACATTCAGGAAGCCAGACAGAATTGTAATAGTGAACAAAATAGTAAAAACAGTAGAATGCAAAACAAAAATAACAGTAAAAAACATTAAATGAATTAGTTTACCCCTATTATATTAATCTATGCTACTTAAAAATCATGACTTGAGAACCTATGTATAAGCACATTCTTTTTTTTTTTTTCAGATTTGCCAGCATTGATTAGTACTTGGTATCGTAGATGTGAATCATCTGGACTGGACTGAAAATTTGAACCAGTTATAAAAGTGGTTTATATAAATGAGAATATGACTTGATAAAGCTCAGCGGTTGGTCCATTACTACGGCATCACATGGCATGCAAAGTTCAGACCTCAATATCAATCAAATAGACAGTGTTTGACTGTAGATTTTACATTCATACAAATTAAATAATACACTTTTGGACCAGAAAAAGTTACTCAGTTCGACATGTTTGATTATTTTGTCATTCATTCATTCATTCACTCATTCACACAGCCTTTGTAAACCTTGACATCAATATACTCATCAATATAGTCTATATTTAGATATAATGTGTGCATGAAAAAGGACATTCTGTTTTTACTATTCTGTGACAGTTAATCAACATTAACCCAAAAAATTGTTCAAAAATGACTCTTCCATCCTTTAACAAACTAGCTATACCCATAATGCCATTCTTTAATCTGACATTCTCTGTTGCAGGCTGACTGACGGGCAATGAAAACACATGTATGTGCACACTGGAGTTTCCCAGAATTCAACGCTTGACTGAATTGAACGCATTAACATACATTGAGGTTAAAAAGCACCAGAAGGCATCTACCCACAAGAAGCTTGGAGTAACCATCAAAACAGTGGTCTTGATAGTCTTTGACATCACCTACGTTCTCTCTCTGTCATGGATGATGGATGGTTAAAATGGTGAAATGGGTGATTGGCCTCATCATGAGAACTGAATGACAGGTGAGCGAAGGAAACACATGCGAGGAGAGAGGTCGAGATGAAAAGATAAAGCTCCAGGAAAGCAACACTACATTCCAGAATCAATGTGAGCAGAAAAAAACAAACAGGCATGGAATGCGAAGGACAGCAGGGAAAGAGTCATGCAGACAAACAGATGTGGTTTTGATGATCAAATGGTCTGATTTTTAGTTTGGTTTAGATCCATATCCATTTGTGTAACAGTGTTACCTGGAATTTAAACTTAAATGCATTCACACTCAATTCAAATCAATGTGAATTTGAATTCATTCATGGGACGGAGATGGAATTGAATGTACTCCACAATATTTTTATGAGAATGATATATTAAACAGGTAAGTCATCAGGTGTTCAATTTGTTACAGTGTTATTTGGAAATGAAACTGAATTGCATTCACACTCAATTCAAATCAATGTGATTTTGAATTCATTCGGACGGAGATGGAATTGAACACACTTCACAATACGTTATGAAAAAGTCATTTTAAACAGATGTCATCAGGTGTGAGGCACATTTCCCGGGAATCATTTTAAAAAGCTCATCTTCTGTGTTCTGCACACTAGAAAGGAGCCATTTCTGTGAACATAGTGCCCAAGACAGGCCATCTGTGATGCTGACCTTGATTGGGCTGTTGGTTTAATGAGTTGTTTGTGAACAGTATCACAGTCTAATTATATCCGACTTATTTATATCAGATCATAAATTAGTAATGTGCAACAAAGAAATGATAGCAACCAAGCACAGGGCTCCAAAAGTTACATTCATACAGACAAAATGCTTTGGGAACAGTCAAATAGGATGCTACAATCATGAAAATATGCTGACGAAGAAGTTAATTTCTACTTTTTGTGAACGCAAAAAGATGTTTACACCAACAGAACTATGAAATTTGTCTTTAGGAGCCCTGGGCCATCCATGTTAGTGGCATTGGAAGATGTCGAATACTACTTTTATCGGTCTCCATCCTCAGCTGGTGCAATGTCAACTTAAGGCAGTGTGGTAGGATTCTTCTAATGCCGTCAAACACTTTCCCTCCATTTCCTTTTGAGCATAAGGCAACTAATGCACATTTATATACTCCGTATTTCAAGACCTTTGGTTCCAAACTGTGGTGTAAAAGATGGGAAACGTTAGCTTTAAGGCAGAACAGTTAAGCTAAGGTGGCTAGTGTAGCCTTTAGCATCCTGTATCTGGATCTATTCTAAAGAAACTAAAGGACTGATTATACATAGGGAACTACAGAGTTTTAAAGCAAATTGCCAAGCAGCTTGGAAAGAGTAACTGGTTGTCATGATGACACAAGTCAATGGTTTTGCAAACTTTGGAACAATAGAACATGAGTTGATTTCCACCTTTTTGAAAGTTAAAGGGTGAAACATAATGACAGTCCAGTTACAATTTGTCTTCTCTTTGTTGTTCTAACAAAAGCCTACGTTCTCACACACACTCTCTAGTACAGTTCAGCAACAGAAATGGCCAAATTTAGCCACTTACAATGCAATCGGACAAAGACAATCGCAGGCTATGGAGTGTTCCTCGATAACAGGTTTGCACAAAGGCAACACCAGTTTGTTCTATAAAAAAAGTAGAAGAAAAGAGAAGGAGCACAGGACAAAAAAAAGGGAAGGGGGGACGACAGAGAACAAAGAAAAGAGAAGAAAAAAGGACGGTCAGTTTTTAGAGCATCCAAGGCCATTTTAACTGTCATCCACATTAACATTTAGCTGTAGGGGTTGCGTTTGAGATGGAAAGGTTTGTGCAACTACTGCATAGTGTAGTTTTCAAGTAATTTTTCACATGAAGAATTACAAGGGTAGGTGAACGAACATGTAAACCCACAGTGTAAAGGGAACACGCTCACACAAAGAAAACAAGGTAAATAGGTCCCAAGGCCGCTTAGTATGCCACACTCGCAGATGGTACGGCCAATTCTGTTTGGCCTTCCTCCAGCTTCTAAATTAACACACAGCATCACTAGCCCATTAGCGTATACCACAAGAACGCATTTCAGTGCTTTTGTTTTAGATAAAAGGTAACAAGCCAAGATTGGTCTCCAAATAGTGTCCAAATCTTGACTCTTGAATAATTGAGGCTGAATTTGATTAGATAAGTAGACTCTCTATTAGAGACACTGTCATACGGACGTCTCGGGCCCCGGTGCGCTGTAGGTGTAAGCTGCCCCAGAGAATCTTGGGTTTTCTCTTATTCGGAGGAAGGAGCTGAAGGTGCAGTAGTCAGGCCTGCCCCCCCAGTATGTACACATCAGTTTTTTGGAAGGGGAGGAGTCAGACCTGTGGTGGGTGTGGTTCTGGCTTTCGTTGCCATGTCTGTCGTGTTTCCGTGCAGGTGGAACATGGAGGGAGGACAGGGGGGTGAACTCGGACAGGTGGCCCTTATACAACTTATCGGCATTCTGGAGTAAAGAACGAGGGAACAGAAAGAGTGAATTAGCAGATTGCATCATATACAGGCATGTAAATGCAAGCATTGGTCACGTCACAAGCTGAAACAACACAAATCCAAAGCCCCAGCAAGAAGCAATGCAAAAAATAACAAAATATTACATTAAAAAATCTCATATCCAATATTAACCACATGCACAAGCTCAGTCCCAGAAGATGTCCCTGATCGATTGAGAGGCTGTTACAGGATAAACTGTGGAGCGAAATTTAGCTAAGGCTAGTGAGAAATTAGAGATTTTTTCTTCATTGGAGGGTGAAAGAGCATTCACCACAAAATAAAAAAAAATAAAAGTTATATTTTTATAATAAAAGTTTGGGGTCTGTAAGATTTTTAATGTTTCTGAATGAAGTCTTATGTTCTGCAAGGTTCACATTTGTTTGATAAAAATACAGCAAAAACAATAACATTGTGAAGTATTATTACAATTTAAAAGAACTGTTCTCTATTTTAATATATTTTAAAATGTAATTTATTCCTGTGATGCAAAGCTAAATTTTCAATGATTGTATATATATAAATATATATAAACTTTCATTATGACGTTTTTTTGGGGTGCAATATAATGGGGGGGTGGGCTAAATTATTCTAAAAGCTTAATATTCTTTAAGCAAAATATAAATATAATTTCTTGTTTTTGTCTTTTGAATTTGCGGTGAAACATTATCAGGACAATTTCTTCATAAATTTACCGATCATAAGCATGTTCTAGGAATGGGCATTAAAAAGTGGACATTTAGAAATATATGACAATATTTTCACTGATTTAGACACAATACGAAAGAAAGATTCAAGTAAAGAAAAAATATCCATGCAAACTGTATGTCTAGCCTGCTGTGTGTATTTGTGTGTGTCAGAAGAACCCATAGTCCCCATGTCCTGTTAGCTGCATATACTGCACACCCCAAACCACAACCCAATGCATTCATTCTGAAGCTTTAAATCCAAACCAAACCAGTCTGTAGGTTTCACACCAAACAACAGACCCACATAGGTGCACCAAAGACATTTCAATCCAGTTTGCTTTCACTGGAAAGAGCCAATTAGCAGGATTCTGGAATTCTCAGATTGATTCTAGAACTGCACGCGTCATCTGAGAACTCTAGAGCTCCACATGAGTTCAGTGTGGATTAGTTCTTTCTGGCTTTAGTCTTCAACTTCACATTCTCTTTACCATAGAGCTGCTAGGCCTCAGTGGTGTTCTGAACGCCATCTAGCAGTGAATCATGAATGTTTGTCTCAACCCTTTCAAAGATCCTGTCAGCCATCATTCTCTGTGAAATATCATACACACAAACAAACTCAAATGTGGCATAACAGACACATGTGCACAATATTTTCTAGAATCTGTCTTGATTTTGAAGTCTTTTGCTGAAACTGAAAGTACAGCAGCAGAAAATGCATTAAACAATTTATATCAGCAACATAAAATACACACGTACATACTATACATGCACACTTCATGCATGCAAACATGTAGAGTGACGCAATAAAAGACTTCGAACATAAAGAGAGACACCACAGGGTACTGCAACACATGTTATTGGCATGTTGGGTGGCTTGTGAGCCTCATTAATGTTCAGTAGGTCATGACCCTGTTGTGTCTTCGCTCACTGATACACACACGCACATGCAGAGAGAGTGTGTAGGTTCACCTCCGGCTCAGTTCAGAAACTGACACTGCTGGAGGTCTGGGAGAGCATAAAGATGGTGGACTGCTCAGCAGTGAGACACTGCCGCTTTGTCTGCCGTTACCACAGGTCAAGGGTTAAACACACAGGGGAAGGGGAAGGTCAAGCATCAGAGAGGTAGAGCATCAGGAGAGAAAAAGAGAGATGGAAGAGGAATAAAAAAGAAAGGGTTTAGAAAGGTTAACAACCTGTCTAATCCTCAGAGATTAATAAAGGAACTTCAGCAGCTTTCAAAGCATTCAAAGTTTCTGGAAGTGCAAGTGTTAAGTGTTAGATTTAGCATATTTAAGGTTCTTTTCTAGCAGAATTATTAGTAAAACTTTACAATAAGGTTCAACTTGGTTACCAGGGGCCTGTACCATGATGGTGGCTGAACAAATTTACAGGATTAGTTTTGAGTTGACAAAACCAAACCAGTCCAATCCGGCTTTGTTGGTACCATAAAGCTCATCACCAACTTTCTCTGTCAACTCAGGCTTGATCCTGGGTTAATGGAGCACGTGCACATGAAAGTGACATCAGTAAAGAACAGCCAATCAGATGCCTTGAAACTGTGATTCACTTCTTGAGAAAGAGTGCGATTCACTACCAAAGATAAAATATTGAACAATATGAAGAATTTAAACACATTTACAAGATGAAACGATCTATCCATGAAAGAGTAAAACTTAAAAGAAAACATCTTGCCTTATAAGTGCAAGTAAAAGTTGTAAAGTTAGTTCATGATTCATGAAGTCAGTTGATCATATTTATAGGTATAAAAACACTTAAAAATCTAAGCTCATATGTAGACATGTTTAAAGCTATTGATTCTAAAACGTATTTATATTGCATATTATCTATATGTTTATATTAATTTAAAATAAAAGCTTAATAATTACTATTAAACTAAGCTAGCTTGTGTAATGGATTAAGGGTATAATAATTATATAAATCATAAAATAATTATAAAAAATAATCATCTCTAAATTCAGACAATTTTATCTTTAAAAATGTTTTACTATGTAGCGTCCTTTAATCTGGAGTAAGAGAAACTGGGGGAGTGGCTTTATTGCGTCAGACATGTGTCACTTTGATTGAAGCTGATTGGTCAAATTTCACTTTGAAATCTCTAAACCAGAACATAACCTGCCCCAGAGCAGGTTAGCTGTGGAGTGTAAATTACTAAGGCAATGAATGCCGCTAAAAGCCAAGCCACTTTCATGATACCTAAAACCCAGGATTGGTGCAAACTAAACTGAAACTTACCTGGCTAGCCAGCTAATCTGGCTTGATGGTACAGGCCCCAGGTTATCCTGTTTTGTTATTGTTAACTAAAACATAACTGTTAAAAATTGTTTTTGTTAATTGAAATAAAGCTGAAATTAAAATATAAACAGTAGATTAAAAACTTGCCCAAAAATGAGAAATTTTGCCTTGGCACCTAACTGATAAGTTTTGTTGAAGTACTAAAATGACTAAAACTAAAACTCAAATAAAAATAAAGTTAAATATAAAAACTAATAAAAATTACAAATGCACAAAACAAAATGACTAAAACTTAAACTAAAATTAAAATGTAAACAGAAAAGCTAATCATAAATACTATAACAGTATCTAAATAAAACTAAAATAACTGTCAATAACACTCATTCATTAGGTATCATAATCTAACAATGAGGAGGTTTTACTGCATTTATTAATCTAATTTAATGATAATTTATAAATTAACAATTTATTATTAATTAATGGTCATTCATAATACAACTTAATATAATTAAATTTTTTTGAAATATACTGTATATGTTCAGTATAGCTTTACATTGATCAAGACTGATAAATGCTGTACATTTTTTTATACACTGACATGACATTTCATTTCATAACATTGACATTCTAGAGTATAATAGGGAAGATGAGTGAGAGGCAAAGCATCACATGGGTTAAACCAGTAGTAAGGCAGTTTACACATGCGCACACATTAAATTTCCTTCTGAAATTTTTCTTAGCATAGTATGGTAACATACTATGTGTGCACACAGTAAAATACACAGTATTCATTGTGTCATATATTGTTTGACAAAGAGTCAACAGGTCAAATAAAACCACTGAATGGCTCAAAGAGTCATTCAACGCAAAGAAAAATCGACAGATAAAGAGAATCGTGAACTGCATCCATAATCCACTTACATCAAGCACACTGGGAACCAGTCCGACGCAAGTGTAAATCTGAAGACCAGTTAGTAGCAATTATCACAAACTATAGCACCATTGAGCTGCTTCAGATCAACAATTATTTAGTTGAAAATAACACAAATATTTCTTTTAAATAGCTGTAATCTTGCAAAAAGAATCAATCTTAGTTAGATTAGACAACAGTTTTGGTTGATTCAGAAGTTGATGCCAAATAAAACGAAGCTGTAGTCAGTGAAAGTGAAAGTGAAAGTGACGTGACATGTGGCCAAGTATGGTGACCCATACTCGGAATTAGTGCTCTGCATTTATCCCATCCAAAGTGCACACACACAGCAGTGAACACACACCCGGAGCAGTGGGCAGCCATTTATGCTGTGGCGCCCGGGGAGCATTTGGGGGTTCGGTGCCTTGCTCAAGGGCACCTCAGTCGTGGTATTGAAGGTGGGAGAGAGCGCTGTACATTCACTCCCCCCACCTACAATCCCTGCCGGTACGAGACTCAAACCCGCAACCTTTGGGTTACGAGTCCGACTCTCTAACCATTAGGCCACGACTTCCCATGCAGTCAGTTCAATACACTTCAGCTGCAGAAATGCTACAAATATACTGTATAATATGAAAAAAGCTATAAAATATCCTGAAAACATAGGTTATTAAAATTACACATGACCTACAGCTTTAAACAATACACACACACACAAAATATTTCTATCCCTCACAGCTTTGCTTTCAATTGCATCAAATGAAACATGTCATCTACCCAAACTAATAGTCACTGTATATAATATTATTTCTTTTAAATAGCTGTCTATTACTGAAATATAGACACATTTATACATGTTTGACATGTGAGCTAACTGTATCTTTTCATCTCTATGAAAATGCAGATAGTGAGAGTTGTGCTGTCGTACCTGTATTCTCTCAGTGGTGGTGGGCCATAGAGCTCTACACAACACTTTCTTCACAACATCAGGCAGCAAACTGACTATAATCAGCAGAATTATACTGAGCCATGCAGGACCGCTGGACAACATCTGCATGAACACATAGTACATCCTCTGATAGTTCAGGAAAGGCCTACAAAGAACAAAAATACACCAGAGATATCATGTTAGATTCAAATTAATTTGATTTAGTGATATTAAGTGTATAACAGGACAGGCCGTACCAAATGATGCCTCCCCACAGGAGGGAGAAGATGACATAGAATAGCAGTGACCCCCATATGACAAAGTGGTTGATCCACGTCCAGTAATGTGTGTCCAGGGCAAGCTAAAGCATGTAGACACAGTGAGAAATGGGAAGACACAGCAGGTGAAGTTGATACCAGTTGGCAACAGCACAGATCATAACACGTGTGTCAGTTGTATTACCTTTAGCGTGACCGTGAACACCAGGACAGTGAATACAAGTGTTCCAAAGGTCCAGTTTCCAAACATCTGGAACAGAGAAATATTGAAAAAGGCAAAAAGAGATTGGCACTGATGCATAAATAGACACTCAAATGAGTGTTAGTGCACAGCTCACCCTCTCATCGCCTTACAAACTGGACACATTGCAGTTATGCATGTTAAAAGCTTATGTGCCATTATTTGAACAATTCAGTGGCACTCGGTAGAAAAAGACTTGAATTATCTGGCAAGAATATATTAACAAAAATATTTCCTCATGATATGGACATTTTTAGACAACACCAAGTTTAACAAAAAACTGTCCAATAAATATTATGCACAAAATATTATGTATAAGAATAACTGAATAAGAAAAATTACTAGAAGCTGGAGGAAAAAACAAAAAACAAAAACACGAACGAAAGATGCAACATAATTGAGTAAAAGCGTTCACCTGAATCATGTATACAATATACAAAAGCAAATAACAATTTAGAATTCCCAGATTTCCTTTTTTTAGGTGGAAATTTATATCATATATTATTTGTACATATATTATCAGCAGAAAAATTATAGACCCTATTTAATGTAAGAAATTTACCTAATAAATTATTAATACAATTAATTATAATTGTTATATACAGTATATTCAAATTATAATTACACTTAGGAGAATATATATATATATATATATATATATATATATACACATACACAAACAATGTTTTATGCTTTTATGTTTTAATTTGATAAAAAAAACATGAACATACGGTGCACTTATCTAAACTTGTGCATCAATGCAGCATTTACAAAAGCATATAAATATAATCAAAGGACAGGGCACTCCTAAATGTTCTTTTAAAAATCTATTTCTTGTGAATAATTGTCATTATATTAATGGTGCTGTAAATGAAAGCACTTTTATGTCTTTGTTTTACAGAGATTATTAATGATGTCTGGCGCTCGGTGATGTCACATGCATTTTATATTTTGTCCATAAAAGCCTCATCAATAAATAGTGAGCTTAGATAGTCCCTTAAAATGTTATAATGGATTCAGTTTTGCAGATTGGCCCAATAAACCTTGGGTGCTGTAAGCTTCTCTGTGTGATTGTGTTTGTATATTTGGGAGGATTTGTTCCCTCATTGTTTACAGTCTTGGCAAACGGCTGAATTTAGACACAATGGATTCTCTTCTAGAACCTTCCCCTGTCTGTGGACCGGCCACACTGTTGATGGCACTATGCAAAACAACATCAACGATATAAAGAGAGCTCTTTATAAAATCACTGCATGTTTACCTTTAAAAAACAAATCACAATCAAAGTCAACAAGCCACAGCAAAACACGAGCAGGTCAAACTGTATGGCACTAAATGGTTTTAGTGAACATAGTGAACAATATAGTGTTGATGAGTTACCAGTTTAAAAAACAAGGACACACAATAAATGTCAACAAGTTTGAGGAAAATGCATTAACTTACCTTAATGAGCAATCTAAATTAAATTTACTGTTAAAAAACATGTCAAGGGCAAATGATTTTTACAGAAGTTGAAACATTTTTCAAAATGATAAATCTGATATTTCAGTTGAAAAAATGTCATGGACAAGTGCACAGTTTTGCAATTTTATGTTTAATCAGATAATAATTCATCTGTTAATGTTCGAGTTTCTGCCACTTTCCACAAACAGGGAAAAACAGTGCCTAAAGTTTTTATTTCTTTCCTCTTATTCAACAAATGGTCAGTGAAAGAGGTGCTTAAACACGTTAATCTCCAATAAAAGGGGCTCAAACAAAATACTATACTAATATATGGCTATTTTATTTTCTGTTCATTTTATACAAGGTTAGCAATGTTTACATCCCTGTAACCAAAAGAGACGTTTAAAACGGATTTGTGTGATTTAGCTTTTTCTAGAAATAAATAAATATTAAATCTAAATAGACAAAATGTATAATAATAAAATAACAATAGCAACAATAATTTTATTAGATCATTTAAAAATATTACTTTCTTTTTTCTAAATTGCAAAAAATACATTATTCAATTATTAAATTAAATATATTATTTGTATATATAATATATTACAAGAAGAAAGAGAGACCCTATGCAATACAATAAATGTACCTATGTTAATGAGTCACTAAAGTATACCCTATTTGTGGAAAAGGCCTCCAGCTTCTCTTTTAAATGAAAAGTTTCTGAAAAGATTATCTTCAATTCAACATGTACTGTACCAAACAAAGTGAAATGTTTAATCCACGTGTCCTCTTGTTCATTCATTTGCCCTTGCAGTGAGTCATGAGAGGATGGATGTGTATCCTACAGGCCGATGAGGATGAGGATGAGGATGACAACACCCCTCCAACTCGGGGGATTGCAAAAAACACAGTCCCACACTGTGACACACGGGACGGACACAAACTCCTACTCGATCACAAGATGATAGACAGAGGAAGATGAACGGGGGACTTGCTATTCTATACCTACAGTGGCTGGTCCTCAGTACAGGGGACACTGGGATGTCATACGGTACTGTTTGAGAGCCACGATGGCGGTGAACGGTTAGTGTTAGTAGACACCATGTGAGTGGGAGTGGCTTTAGGGTGAGGGGAGGGGCTGAGGAGGGTAACAGTAAAACTAAAAATAGGATGAGAAACAGATAGGGACAGGCTTACCATCTGTGTGTTGGTGGCCATTAGCTGAGGAAAGGAAGAGAAGCAGAAAAGAAAAGAAAGGCAAAAAGGGAGTAGGTAAAAGGAGGAAAAGAGAGAGGGAGAGATAGAGAAAGAGAGAAAGAGAGGAAAACAAAAGAAAAGAAGGAGAGGGAGGGGACAGGGAGCAAGAAAGTAAAGAACAAATTAGGATGTTATAACTTAAAGTAAATCAAACAGGTAAAAAAGCAATCCAAAAAGGTTACTATGATTTAACTTAATGGCACAGAGAAAGATGTCTGGTCTGACTGATTACCCAGCATGCTTTGTGTCACATAAATGAATGGAGAAGCACCTGTAATGACTTCAAACATACGCAAAGGAGGACAGACAAAAGTCTGCAAGCTGGATCAAGACCTTAGTTAAACCACAAATATCTACATTACAAGCACTGAAACCACTTTAACCACAAAATAACTCACTCAACAAGCATCGGCCACCCATTCAATCTGTATGCGTCTGCTTTATTTGACTGAGAAAAAAATGAACTCAAGAAACAAAACACACACAGAAAAATGTGAAAACGAAATCATGGTTTAGACAGTGACTGCATTACCTGTCCGTTGCTGGTGAAGGTTGTGTTGTCGAAAAGGAAGACAGCACCAAAGAAGAAGACCACGGCATCAAAAACCCCCAGAAATGTCCAGTAGATGAAAGTGGGCCATCTCAGGAGGGAATTCTTGGCAATATCTCTGTAAAAATAAAGATATTAAAAATGAAAATATAAAAAACGGTTGATATCACCGCATATTGTTTGCATAACCACACTGTACTGTAAACTTTACACTTTACAGTCCTTTAAAAATGTACATCAACTTAACTGTAATCACAGCTAAGTGCATGTAATACATCATAAGCAACAAATTTCAAAATCACGTATAAGGTTATTAATAACTAAAATAACTAAAACTATTAAAAATATTTTGGTTAATTAAAAATAAAGCTGAAAGAAAATAAATTATAAATATTAGATCAATTTAATTAGAAACGTTGCCTTGGAAAATAACTAAAGTTTAAGTTGAAACATTAAAATTACAAAATGAAAATGAATAAAAACTAAAACTGAAATTAAAAATAAATTAAACCTAGAGTAAAAATGAATAAATGTAAAATTTCCATTGGTTATCCATTTAATCTCATTGTGTCAAACAGAAATAACGTCTCTAGGTTACGTATGTAACCATGGTTCCCCGAGGGAACGAGACGCTGCGTCGAGTCGCTTTGGGAACGCCCTTGCGTGACCGCGTTCTGAAGCACGTGTCAAATCAGTCCAATGGAGTAGCGAGACGTCACGAGCGGGGTGACGTAAGCACCAGAAAGTATAAAGGCTCATCCGGCAGCACGTCACCCCGCTCGTGACGTCTCGCTACTCCATTGGACTGATTTGACACGTGCTTCAGAACGCGGTCACGCAAGGGCGTTCCCAAAGCGACTTGACGCAGCTCGAGTTCCTGAAGGGCAAATGAGATTTTCACCATTTTAAGTTTTTGCTTTTTTTTTACATTTTCATTTGAGAAAACTACCCTAATAATCTCACACGCCACATTTAGAGTACCGCAAGAGATCTTAAGAATGTCTCCAGAACTCCAACTCATAGATCAAATGATCTGGGCTTTGCTATCTGTTCATTTTGTAGTCTTTTCTAGTCTTGTTTGTATAAATTTATACCAAATGAAGTGCAACTGATACTAAATTGAAAAGCAATGGAGCAGTCAAACATTTCAATGTAAGATCATATGGTTATTTATGAGTGCTCTATGAAACAACAGTTTAGTCTCAAACTACACTTGAGATTGGATGGATCATTTCAAATGAAAGTGAAATTAGGGTCAGAAAAAAATAAGCATAATTTCTGCTGCTTGTGTCCATTCTTACTTTAAAAACATAGAAAAGTCCTTGATAGCTACAAGTGCCACACTGTGTGTCAGTAATGAACACTGTATATATTGAACAAGCAATGCAGAGGAATAAGAGGGGGAAAAATGCAGTGTCAGGACATTTGGTGCAAAAATGTAGAGCAGTTCTAACAGTATTTCTGCCCAGTGTAGTGTGTAAATTGAGTTTAGTGCAAGGGTCTGTGCGGATATGTTTGCCAAAGGCTGATGGAACTGTCCAATTATAGCAGACTCATATTTGGAAGCAGCGTGTTCGTGTGATTAAGTGAAAAAACCTGGAGGCTCACAATCAGAAAAGGCATTTTAATAAAGGGGAACATTTAGAGAGTGAGATTGGGCTACATCAGGCGGTTCATTAGATACAAAAATTATGCAAGGAAAATAAAAGATTTCAAAAATACAGATTATTTTAATTTTAATTTAAATTGAATCAGCATACAGTATTAAATAGTCCCTGAATGGGCCAGTGCTGTCACTATGACTTGCAACATATATGTGCTTTAATTCCTTGCAAACAATTTATTTTTGTGCATGAAATATTGCTGCTGCAAAGTTGGCTAATATATATATATATATATATATATATATATATATATATATATA